AGAGGCTGAGAGCACTGTCCCTGTCTCCTGAGAAGGGGATGCTGGTCAATGTCAAGCCTGGTTATGTTGAGCGAGGACGATCTGGGTTTCTTGTTAGAACATCATACTCTTTGGGACAGTGTCAGCTCGCTCAGCAATGGACATCTCTGACTGGGGATGCCTCTGAAGCAGGGGAAGAGCTGCCCAGGAATGGCACAATGTGTCCTGTGGCACCTGGTGTGTGGCCCCCTGAGACCAGCAGTTCCCCCCAGGGCTCCGTAGTGGCCACTTTGCAATCTGTTCTTTGTAAGGAGCAGTGTCCCGTGCAAAGGCAGTCTTATCTGGTAAAACTGGCAGTTCCCAGGGCTAGGCTCACCTGGGCTTCCCTTTCTCCCTTTGGTGACCTCCACCACAAAGGGACCTTCTTTGCTGCTTAATCAATTGGAGGTGCCTGTCACCAAATAATTGGGGTGGCCATGGCTGTGGGATGGCATTTCAGGTTTCTCTGTAAGTGGCCTCGCATCCCATTCCCTACCAGGCTTTCCTAAGGGACAGGGCAGTTGATCTCTAACCAGGACATTTGTTTCTGTTTCCAGTCCTGGCAGCCATGGGAACAGAAGCAAACCCCCCACCCCACTAGGTGCCAGTATCCAAGTTAAGAGGTCCTTTCTTCCCCTGGGCTGTCCCGAGTGACACAGGGAAAGGGAGAGATGGTTCAGGGAGCCTGTCTGCTTGGGCTCCACCCCCCAGAAGCTGAGCCCGTGCCCTAGGCTCTCTCATGCTTAAAATCTTTGTGAACAGGAGGCAGGTGTTCGCTGGCCGGTGACCCAGGTACAGCATTGCATTTTAATGACATCACACTCACTTCTGATCTTAGGAGAATCAATAATGCTTCTAGTTGGCAGGGTTAGGTCTGGGTTAATATTTAGCTCTGTTTTTAAGCACAATCCAGATACACACGGCCCAAGACATTCACAGGGGAGCAGCTGGATGGTGTGCAGTGCTCAGTGGCTGCTGAGGAGGAAGCCACATGGCTGTGGGATGGCTGGGCTTGAGAGTGGCCTTGGGGGCTGGGGGTAAAAGCTTGTCCTTGAGATGTGAGTTGAAGGTCATTCGGTGAACTTTCTGTCTACCTTTTCTAAATCCTAAAATGGATCTAGAAATAGTCTGTTAATTTAAAAGAAAGAAAAAGTAACAACAGGCACGAGAGCACAATGGTTCCAAGCCACAAGAGAGCGTATCACTCGGAAAGTACTTTGGGAATGAGGTGGTGCGAATTACCTGAATCAGGTAACTGAGAGCTACAAAAGTTTCCAGCTTTGAGTGGAATACAATCCCCTACTTTCTAGATGAGCTGCTGGGGGAAAAAAAAATGAGAAACTCTGCCAATGAGGAGGTTCCCAGAGATTCTCACGTTATAAGCCAAACAAGCACTTAGGTAAAGGTTTGCTTTGATAGAATGTGTGATGGTAAATCCCATGTTTTTGAATCTAGCAAAAATGTGGATGAGACAAATGATTGATTTATTACTTATAATGCTGAGCTTGTCAGCTACTGTGATATTTTTTCTTTATTCTTCGGTAGTACTGGGTACTTTACTGGTGAGCTACATCTCCAGCCCTTTATTTATTTATTTATTTATTTATTTAATTTATTTATTTATTTATTATTTATTTATTTTTTGAGATAGGATCTGACTAAATTTCTGAGGCTGTCCTTGAACCTCTGATCCTCCTGCCTCAGCCTGGCTGCAGCTATTGTGGTACTGTAAGGACACACACTTCAGATACACAAACCAGGCTTTCCACCAACCTTTTGATGATTCTCTTGCCCCCTGTCTTCAACAAGGCCAAAGTTCCTGTTGTCCTGCTGCTGTAACTCCCAGTGTCCAGGCAGCCCTTGGCTTCCTCTCCAGACCAGCCACCAGGCTGTGTGCTTCCCCAGCACTGTGCTCTCCCAGCACTGTGCTCTCATGGGGACAGCTGGGGCTGAGGGCTTCAGCAAGCAGAACTCATACTCCATCAAGAAGAGGAGGTCAGATTGGTATAAGCAGATGGACTTGAGGTCACTGTCAGCTCTTGAAGTCCCATCCGCCAGCCCCCGTTTTCCTCTCTGCCTGCATGCACCATCCACTGTCTAAGCCCACGTTCCAACTCAATATCCACTGTCACCCACCTCCCTGTTACTGAAATGCAAGTCAACATCATGCAGCCCAGGCCCCAGGGTCAGCGTGTCCTTCTGAGTCCACTGGGTTTAAGCAGCGCTTAACTGCCCATGCTAGAGGAAGGTAAGGAGTGACTAGCACAACTCAGCCATCAGATACTCCACAATCGGTGGGCTGCGTTACTTCTTATTCCCTCTCAGTATATCCAGCAGGTTTATTTTCATTTGAGGCTAAAATTACATTTTTTAATTAAAATTAGGTTAATGGTTACATGAAAAGGTTTATTTCCTCTTTTGAGTAAGAGAAAACCTGAGAGCAAGTCATCCCTGAAAGAGGTCTTTTGAAAAGTGGAGAACACATTTCTGTGTAGTGGGACCTGATTACGTATTGGGATGAAATTAGAGCATGGGTCTTATAGACCCCTTCCTTTTGCTTTTGGATGACCCTCCTGTTGATGAGTGCCCCCAGGGACTGGGTGTGCCTTTCATTTTGAGGTTGTTTATGGTGGCTGCTTTGGACCCTGCCTCCCGGGGTTTCTCTGTTTGCACAGACATGGATACTGTGGAATTACTCTTTTCTTCAAAACGATTTCTACCAATTCTTGCTCCCTTGGCATCATTTCCGTAAGTTAAAAAAAAGAAAAAAACAACCAGCATTTATTCAAAGACATAAAATAATGGTAAAATTGTGTTTATAGTGTTTCCTCCCAAACCTCTGCTTATTTTCATTAAAAAAAAAAAAGTCATTCTCCATTAAGTGTGTTGCCAGGAAGCCAGCCCTGAGCTGGACTGGCAGTGAGCTTTGCCTYTAGCAAGGGTGTGGGATTTCACTGCGTCGGCGTTTTTTTTTTGCAACGACTTTCTTAGTAACCTTAGTTTATAATTGCACCTCTTTTTATTTTTGCACAAATTCATTTGTTGATCATAACTCTTATCGAACATATTTTTCTAAGCCACGACAAGTACTTTTGGGAATGAGGAGGTGCGAAGGACATAGAATAAAGTCAGCCTGCCCTCCAGGAGAGCCACATCGGGGCTGCCAGCCCTATCAGGGAGCCCGGAGAAGAAAGCTTTTTTTTTAAATATGGTAAAATCTATACGAGATGTTAAGAGTGATGCTTTCCTATAAAAGCCAGACATGGTGGCATCTTGCAAACACCTGAGTGTATATTTCTTCTTATTCTGGGGATGGTGCCCAGTCAGTGGAAGGAGGACTGTTTCTTCTTATCACTTGTACATAGGCCCAGCTACAATTTGGGGAATAAAAACCCCTGATGGTGTGAAATACCTGTCTACAGCAGTCCCTGGGGAAGCTCAGAGGGTCCAGGGCAGTAACTATCTGACAGTTATACACAGAGTGGGGAATAAGGTATCAGGGCAGTGCCTGTGAGGGCCGGGGCTCCTCCAACATACCCTACACATAGAGTTTAGCTGTGTGTGTGTGTGTGTGTGTGTGTTTTGGTACCAGGGATTGAACCCAGGGGCATTCAATCACTGAGCCACATCCCCTGCCCCCTTTATTTTCTATTTTGAGATAGGGTCTCAATAAGTTGCCGAGGCTGGCCTCAAACCTGCAATCCTCCTGCCTCAGCCTTCTGAGTCACTGGGATTATAGCATGCACTACCATGCTGGCTGTGTGTGTTTTATGAACAATATCCTCACATCTCTAGTATACATTGTGATTTTTGTTAATGCCCAGCCTTGTGGAAAGTCCTTAAAAAATGCTTTGAGGACTTGTTGAATTACATTTCCGTTTTCTTTCATTAGGAAGCCATGTCTGGCATTTAAAAAAAAAAAAAAAAGAAGAGGCAGTTTCATAGTTTCTAATGAAAGTAAAATTTTGCTTCATTCTTATTTATTTTTATTGTGGGGAAATAAAATTGTTTCCCCTAGTCCAATTTTTGCCTTTCAGGCTAGTTGTTTCCCTCTCTGTGGCTCCCTAATAAAGAATAAAGCAAATTGAGAAGAAGAAAAGCCCAATCTTATGATAAAGCAGGCTTTGTGTTGATAAATTGATGATTGATGACCACAACCATTTCGATCCTTTCGGGTAAATGAATAACTGATTGTATCTGAGAACAGGAAACTCACAATTTATATCCTGGGTCTTCGGCTGTCTTCTCCCTTCCCCCTCCTGAGTTTGACCTAGCTGTTTGAAATCAATGCAGAAGACACCCAGGGGAAGAGGCAGGTTTGGGGAGACTGGAAGCTTAGGTAACAGGGGTGGCCCTCTTAAGAGAAAGAATACAAAAATATCTCACTTTCACAATATTTTACGAAAGCACATGACCCACAGGAACAGAGCGTTCAGGTTTGTCCTGGGCTGGGAAAGGCCCGGGGAGAGCCATCCTGACACGTAAAGCTTGTTGGCTTCCCGCTAAGTCCATTTCTTAGGGTTCCATACCGTGGCTCATGTCCTGGGCACTCTGCACGCTTCAGTTTGCTGCTCTTGTACTGAACACAAGGAGTGTAAAGCGATGACTGTACAAACAGTCAGCAGGAATATACAAATATAAATATAAGAACACACTTTACACAGCAGGCTGGAAGTCCATAGACACGCACATAGGGTTGTTTTTTTTCTCTTTTTGTTGAACTTGAGCATCTCTCAAGGTCATAGGTCTCCAGACTGAATTGTCTGCCTGCACTTGAGTGTTCACTTAAAGGGGAAGTAATCAACGTATTAGTTATCTACCAGACAAGCCCGTTCATTCGTTGTGCTGTTACTTGGGCTCAGGCCCATCGGACCTCTATCCTAGAAGCCAGGTGTGCCGGTGGGAGGAGGGAAGAGCGGGTGAGAAGGGAGTCCTTTGCCCATGGAGTTTGTTTTGTTTTGTTTTAGATTTTGTTTGGCCAGGCAATTTAGATACTGGTTTGGAGGTCTCCGTTGAGGAGGGTCCTCTGGGTCTCCGTGGTCTCATTCAGCCGGGATTTGTCCTGCTTGCTGTCGCTCCGTTCCCCGTCATCTGTGCCACTCACCTTGACCAAGCAGAGGACGTTCTGGAAGCTCTTCTTGAAGTTGTCAGACAGGAAAGCATAGAGGATAGGGTTGGCACAGCTGTTGGCGTAGGTGAGGACCACCACAAAGTCAAACATGCCTTTGAGGGCCGGGGTGGGGTCGATGGCCACGGTCACGGAGGACACATTGAATATGTAGAAGGGGAGCCAGCAGAAGATGAAGACGGCCACCACTATGGACACCATTCGGGTGACCTTCTTCTCGGACTTTTTCCTCTTAGAGGAACCTACTCGGATGCCAGAGGACTTCACCTTGATGATAATGAACAGGTAGCAGAGACAAATGATGGTGAGGGGGACCAGGAACCCCAGGATGAACGCATAGATGATGAACCCCGTGTACCACGCCCCAGATTCACCTGGCCAGTTGATGGTGCAGCTGCTTTTCCCCCACTGGTTGCTCCGAAGCCCAGCATAGATCATGATAGGCAAGATGACTAGCAGAGAGACCCCCCACACAGCCATGTTGATCATCTTGGCTGTCCGGGGTCTCCTCCACTTGGCCGACTTGATGGGGTGGACCACAGCCAGGTAACGGTCGATGCTCATGACCGTCAAGCAGAAGATGCTGGTGAACTGGTTGATGCCGTCCACAGTCATGACCACCCGGCAGATGGCCTTGCCAAAGGGCCAGTGGACCAGCGCCACCTGCATGGCTAGGAAGGGCAGCCCCAGCATGAAGAGCTCATCGGCAATGGCCAGGTTGAGGATGTAGATGTTGGTGATGGTCTTCATCTTAGCGTAGCGGAGGATGACGTAAATGACAAGAGTGTTGCCACAGAGACCGATGATGCAGACCACGAAGTATATGAAGGTGAGGACCGCATTGCTGGTCATGTCGTAGTACGGCTCTGTCTTGTTGGAGTTGTTCGCTGCCGTTGCAGAGCCATTGAGGTCAAAGGGGGAGGGCGGCCATGCCTGGCTCTCATTGAGTTGCTCGTACACCGTCTCCATGGCTGCTTTTCAGTCTAAGCCAAGAGCCAACCTGCCCCCGATCTTACTCCCCCCTTAGTGAGCCTTGGAGGCCAAGGGTCCACGGTGACATCTGGAAGGAAACAAGATGGGCCCAGCAGTCAGTCACCAGCTGTTGAAACCCTGGCCAGCTTTCTGCATTTCTGGCTTATCCTCTTAGATGTACTCTTAAATGGGAAAAGGTGTTATCTTTCTGTGCCAGTGTCATAGCCACCAGCCCTGCGCAGACCTTGAGGTTTTTCCCAATAGTGGGGGAAGGGCAGGGCTAAGCCGTCATCTTTGATGACGCACTTCTAGGGGGTGCTGTGGCTTCCTCCCTGCCATACTTTGACCTCTAAGGAGTTGACTGTGCAGCTACAAGAAGGCAGAGAGTTCCAGCCTCCGGGCTTAGAGGGGCCTGGTGCTGGCATCTAGAGCCCTGTCCCTTGAGGGAGTCCCTGTGGACTGCCGGCTGCGTGGGACTCTCTCTCTCCTGAAACTAACCCCGTGGTGGGAACCCCCCAGACCTTGGCTCCCCTGTGGAGACCATGGGACCTCATGCCCAGCCATCCCCTGCTGGGCTCCACTGGGTTGCTTAACATGCGAGTCATGAGGGAGGGCACGCAGAGCCTTGGCATCATGTGGGGCTCATGACGGGAACCTCAGAAGTGTTATCCCCCCACCATCTCATTATGTCTAATTTATTGAATCCTGCCCACACAATGAATCAATTTATAGTCTTCAATATTAAAAATAAAAGTCTGGCTTGCTTTCATTTTGTTTTTAAATGTGTGCTTCAGTTTAGTTTTTCTTTTTCCATTTCTGTTTCTCTGACCCCAAATGCTTGACTCTCTTGTGTAGCAGAAAATGCTTCCCTAATGTCCCTGAGCTGGGTGCCACTCCAGAGTGCTAACAACACACAGATTTCATCTGCAGTCTCCTGATGGAGGACAAAAATGGGAGCCAGGCGAGGGCCGAGGGATACAGTCTCTTCATTGATGTGAACAGAAAATCACAAGCTCCGAGGTGGTTCATTCACACCCACATCCCCTTCATCCTCCCAGCCATGACCGGAGGTGGGGATAATTGTCCCTGTTTTAAAGATGTGGAAACTGAGGCTTAGGGAGGTGAAGCGACTAGCTTTTATAATTGGTAGTGCTGGGATTTGAACACAGGCCTCCTGACCCCAAGACTTCCACGCTTTCTACAGCATCACATCTGCTGCTCAGTGGGCTGGCAGATGAGGGGCTGGTAATTGGGTTCGGGTTTGAAGCAGCTGACTCCTGCATTACTACCTCCGTGCTGAGAAAAATAACTCTAGCACTGCTGGCTTGACTTAGGGTGTAGAACAATATGTGATCCCATGATGAAATGACTTATCTACAGTTGTTCAAAAAACATCACTGGCTGCTGGGTACAAAGACAGGGCAGGTGCCCTCTGGGAGGTGATCATTTATCAGGAGAGGCAATGAAGCCGGTTGACACAGGGTGTGAGCTGCTTGGAGCTAGGAACAAGGGACCTAGGAATGCCTTCCTTCCCTGGAGGATCAGAGGCAGCTTCATAAGACAATTTTGGAGCTGGGGTCTTGAGTAGATGAAGAGGGAAGCAATAGAACAGGGCAGGAGGTGACTCCAAAAAGAAGCAAGATGGCCAGGGGTGGTATGCCCAGCACCACTTGGCCCCACTAGGCGAGCATGTTTCCTCTAAGTAGGATGCTTTTCCTGGTGCCTGAAGATAGATGGGTGAGTGCTTAATGCCCAGAGAGACTGCAGAGACCTTAAAGGAGATGTCACCAGCAACCAGTACTTGAGGGTCCTTGCCCACCTCTGATTCATTCTGTACTGCCAGGCGCCTGTCTTATTTTTTCTATGCTAATTTCCTCAATCACACACTGTCCATGGAGTGAGGTATGGCCTTCGTGGCTAATCTTTTTTGCACAGAATTTTGGGGACCCAGGATTTCATGTCTATGTGGGGTAAAAATGCTAGCTGGCGGCTCTTAAACCCAGAAGCTATAAAGAAACTGTTTTAGTATCTCTGCATTTACTTGGATTGTTTGCACTATCGTTTCCAACCATCTCCTCAGTTACTCAATTCTACAGACCCAGAATCTTATCTGAATTACCCACAGTGGGAGTGTACATTAACCATCAGTCCTGCCAGGGTGGCATCTGGGTACCGTGAATGGTCATCCTCCAATGCCAGGGTAAGACCAAAGACCCTGGGGGCTACAAGAAGCTCTTTCTAGAGCTTTTGAGATGTTGCTGGTGCAGCAGGGGAGAGGGAGCCTCTCATGCCACCCTCTAGCCTTAACTCCTCCCTTTCCTCTGCCCAGGGGTCAGTTCCCCTCCCCTGAAATAGTTTGAGAAAGCCTATTTTGAAAGGTAGCCACTTTTGAAAGGTAGCTCAAGATGGGGTTGGAGCCTTGATGAAGGTGAGGGACATGGTAGGCTGGAGCCAGGAAGAGGCTCCTGGGAAGAAATGGCTTAAATCATGGCAAAGGTTTTTAACAAGGAAATCTGAGTGATTTCTGCTTCATGGTTGTCCCACGAAAAGTGGATTCCAAATGCCAATCCACCAATACCTGTTGGATTTTGGTTAAAATTAAATACGAAGAAGTTTGATTATCTGCTTTATTTTTCCAGCCTAAAAGTTTTTAGATACTGGAAATGCCCTGTTGTTGGTTTCCCCTGAGACCCAGCAGTTGGAGAGGAGGGTGAGACTGGTCTCTGGCATCTGTCCATTCCACCTCCAGAAATGAGACTCATGATGTGGACCTGGCTGCAGTGGTGATCCTAAAACCCACTCTGCCCATCTTTGTGGCATCCCCCAGCCCCCTTTAGTAGTCACTCCCACCTCCCTGGGAGCCTGCTAACCTCAGTGGCAGAGAGACAACAGCCCAGCATCTAGTGCTAGAGCACCAAAGGAGAAGCCCTGGGGCACTGACCAAAAGGGTTGGGCCTCAGGAGGTGAGTCCCAGGATCCTGGAGGAAACAAAAAAAAAACCTCCGCTGATCAAGTCGCTGACCCTCGGGAGCCATGGTTTCCTACAGGATTCTCTAACATTTCTAGGGAGACAAAAGGGCAGCGAAGACTGAGAACCAATATGTCCAGCCTTTAAACCCAGAGGTGGGCTATGGTGCCAGGGACAGCTGGGAGTCCTGACAGTGGCTTGGGAACATGGCCATGCCAGCGTTAGCTCTCTTCAGTCTCTGCCTGAGGGCCTGGGCTGGACCCCCTACAAGTCCGGGTCCACTTCCCCAGCCAGCGAAGAAAAAGAGGAGAGAATCCCCTTTCCTCCGCTGAGTGCTCCAATCGCCTGCCCCTCCCGGGCTCAAATCTCTAGATCTCTAATGCGTCCTCAGGAGCCCCAGGGTGGCACCCGAGCCCCGCTGGCCTCGCTCTCTTGCGCCAAGGCTCTTTTGCGGGTGGCTAGGAGATAACTTGTTCCCCGCATCTCAGCTACCACCAGGACAGGGCTGCAAGGCACACGCCAGGCGCACACGGGCAGGGGCTATCCAGACCAGCACACACGATAGCTCTCCCTACTCACGCCAGGACACCTGCTGTCGTTCATTTCCACCACACTCACCCCCAGCGAGCACCGGGCAGAGAATCCTGCACCCGAACCTGCGCTCGGTCGCGCGGATGGGCGCACTGTCACCAGCGCTGATGCACACAGGTGCCGAAGTGCGCTTCTTGCTCCTACATCTCCATGTATGTGTCTCTGTGTGTCACACACACACACAAGCACACACGGGCACGCACACAACCTTACCTTGCTTTTTCGCGGTAATCCGTTAAGTGGGCTCACCAGCCCTCAGTAACTGTCCCCTATCCAGCACGGCGCCCAGGAGCGCAGCTCTTGGCGGGTGGCTGGCGCTCGGCGTCCAGGGCTTCCGGCCCCTCCGCCTCCCTTGAGCTGGCTGGTGTTTGCCCCTTTCACGTCCCACAGCCAGTCTGGTCCGCTGTCCGCCCGCGCGGAGCTGCGGACTGGCGCTCTGCGGGCGGGTGGCCTTGGGAGCGCGCGCGCGCGCGCGCTGGTGGCTGCGCCGCTTGGACTGGCCCAGCTGGGCAGGAGCCCCTCGGCACATTTCCCCACGCCCCCCCTCTGATTACGTCACTGCAGCTTGGCTCCGCCTGCCGGGTCCTGTAGGAGGACCCGGGTGAGACAAGTGGAGAATCCTGCGGGTGGCTGCGGGCAGAGCTGGCGGGTACGGTTGGGGTCGGGGGTGGGGTGGAGAGGGGACCCGCATGCAGGGGCGTGAAGGGTGAAGCGGTTTGTCTCTTCAAGACTCATGGCAGGGACAAGTATTGCTTTCCTCCGGTTTAATAGGATCGATTCTGTATCACCCAAAATATTCCAGGCAACTGGCGTGGCGTCCCGGGTGACCCAGACTCGCTCAGGGATCTCTGCAATTTTCTAAGTCACACAAGTTTGCAAAGTGGTGTCTACCATGGGCAAGCCCTGGGCATAGGATGCACAGGAAAGGGTAGAGAAAAAAAGCTCCTTATGCCGTCATCAGTGCCTGCGGGAGCTGCACCTGGATTCCGAGATTCGCTCAGCTCAAGGAGCCATCAGAGGCTCAGTGGGATGGAATGATCCAGGTTCCACAGCTCAGAGGTCCAAGAGCTCTACAGCCCCCTTGCTTTAGCCTGGCAGTCAGCACTAGCCCATAGGACATGGCAGCCCCTCTTCCTACGTGCTCAAGTGCAGGGAGCAAAGAGGACCCGGCAAAAAGAAGTGGGAGTTGTGTCGCATCAAGTTGCAGCTATTTATTTTTTGACTGCGATGATTCAGCCTGTGTTCCAATAGTTTAATAAGTCATAATCAATCCACAGCCTCTCTTTACTCACCGTCCTCCAAGCACACACACACACAAACACACACCAACACACACACCTCAACACACACACACACACACACACACACACACACACACACACCACTCAGTACAGTTTAGAGGATAGGAAGTCAGAAAGCAAACCCCAGTTAGCCTTCTCTGTGGGCGGAGCTGCCTTGGTCTGTCCATTCTATTTTCCAGCTCACCAATGAAAGGCAAAGTCCAGAGCTATTTAACAGGTGAGAT